GCGTCATTCTTCGCGCGCGGGGGGGGGGGGGGGGGCGGGGCCGGGGCCCCCTCGCCCCCCCCCCTGCGTACGCCACTGCCTGTCACAGGTTGGAAAAGAACCAAAAAGTAAAATACTTCATGTATATTTGTATGATTTTAAGGTCGAATAGCAACAAGAAAAATTAAGATAACTTTTATTCAAAAACTGAAAGTGATATATATCGACTAAACTTGAGGGGGATCATTCGTTTTAGGTTCTGATCAGAAAGAACTTTGTCTTCAGTCATCGCGTTACTAAGATAGAAGAAAATTAAATTTTGAATCACATAATGAAAGAAAAACAATCAAATATATGCGTCGGAAAAATCAATGCAAGCAGAAATTAATCTATTTATAATATTTGATATCAATATAAAATGTTACACTACTGTATTGAAGTAAATATTGACAATTGCAAGTATTTTTCATTAATGAAAAGAAAAAAAAAACAATAACCTGAATACTTTTGGAGAGAGAGTAGAGATATTCAAATTTGTTTTTATGTAAAATTTTTCATTTTAAAATATAATAATATCTTACTGTTGTTTGTTGATTAGGTATTTGTAAAGCTAAAGCTAATGCATTATAATCAAATGTTTCATCAAATGCAATAAGTCCACCATGTATTCCAGATTCCGTTAAATTATTTGCATATTCTTTTAATCCATTAATTGTTGTTAACCATTGAATAACTCTTTCATTAGTCCATATAATAACATCTCGATTTTCATTTAATGATTCTTCACGTCTACGATCAAGTTCTTTTTTATCATAATTTATTCGTTTTAATACCATAATACCATAATGAAAACTTGTACTACAAGAAGAAATTTTATATTTTTTTTTTTTTTTTTTTCATTCGATTTTACCGATGAAAACTATCAACCATTTTTAATTGTTTATTTAAATCTTTTTTATTTAAATGTTCAAGCATTCTTGCATCAACAAGACATTCCATAAAACATGTACGATATTGTGGTAAACCTATACTTGGTAACCATTCATTACCAATCCATTCATGATTCATTTCACCAAAAGCTAATGACTTCAAAAAAATAAAATAAGATTTAAAAAAAAAAAAAAACAAATTTATCTGATTTTAAAAACTTACTGTTACAGATGTTCGAGGTCCATTTGGTGATGTTAAATTTAATATTTCTTGTATAGCTAATCGTAATTTAAGTCGATGTAATGGATTACTAATACCAATTTGTCGTTGAATTTCTTCATCATTTAATTCAGACATAATCGCACCTGATTTAACATTAGCACGACATGCAGCTACATACCATGCTGGCATTTTAACCCATAACTTAAAAAAAAAACAATAATTTCTATCGATAATATGATTGTTAGATACAAACTTCAAGCCATGCAACAACAGTTGCACCATCCCATGTTGGAAATGGTCGATTATTTTGTATCGCATCTTCGAGTAGTTCTTGTCTAAAGAAAACAGAAAAAATTTACTATTGTTAAATAAATGAGATTTAGTTTAATTTACTTTTTTTTAATACGTCGATCAAATTCAGTTTTACCTAAACTAAGTAATGTACCAGTTGTTGATTCTGTCATTTCATTATCAACTGGTAAAGATGATGCTAAACGTAAAAATATTGAATAAATAAATATTTTTTTTTGTATTTTTTATAATGAAATATTTACCACGAGTTATATAAGGTATTGGATGAGTATTTTCACGTACTGGCTTATTATCAATAAGATCAGGTTTACGTGTAAACAAACGTCCAAGAGAATTTCGAATACCTTTCTTTTTTTGTTGCTGTTGCTGTTGTTGTTGTTGATTTCGACTATATACACTATTGTCATCACCTGATGTCGAATTTTGAGAACTTATTGGACTCGGAGTATCTTGATTATTAGCGGATGATAATGATGTAGATTGAAATGTGGACGGATTTGGACTATAATTTAATATAAAATAAAAAAATAGTATAATTATTAATGAATATTGAACTGTCAAGGAAATTAGCAAGGATACGTTCATTCTAACTCAAATTTTTGGAAAGTTTCGAGTCATTATAAAGCCTATCCGTGGATAAAATTTCAGCTCGTAATTCGATTGTCCAGATTCTCAACAATCTTGGGCTCGTACGACGAAATTCGACAAAAACACCTATAACTCATTAAGTGAAGACCAAATAATCAATGCAAAACACACTTTTTTTGGCTGTTTATAATGACCGATCGAATGGCAGTAGTCTCATGCGATAAGCGATTTAACAATTGACAACGCTGTCTCGTTAGTTTCTTTTATAAATTTTTAAAATAGCAAGACGACTATACAGTCTTAACTACACAACGGGATCTATGTAGATTTGTAAAGTAAGACTACTCCTATCAAACGGTGTGTGTATATTATCAACTTTCATTGAGTACCGTTGATTTGTCGATAGATGGCGCCATCTTCGATGCATTCTGTCGTGGTCGCGGTGAAGATAGTTCCATCTATCAGAGATGTCCATCGCGGCTCGAAATCTGCCGCTGCCGCGATGGTACTCGAAAAAAAGTTTCGAATTTCATCGCTGTCAATATATTGAAATACAATTCTTGTCACTAATCGATGAGATTCATTGAGTCTTAGAGTGTTACGTCTGTGGACACTCAATTTTTGTGCAAATTCATGCAATTTTTTCAATGTCTTCCAGAAATAAGGTGCCGCCGCCGCGCCGCGATGAACATCTCTGCCATCTATTAACATATCAACGGTACGAGGGATGTTATTTTCCATAAGAAGCGACTCCGGTTACTAGAGCCGATTGGAAAACAAGTCAGAACTATTTTTTGGTGATCATAGTATAGTTTCAAGTAGTATCTATCTATTGAATATATCGAAGAATTGACGTTAAAAATTTGACAAGAAATCGATTTCGGATTCTTTTCAAAACAATTTTTTCACATATACCTCACATTGTTTGAGATCGGCAATCTTTCCTTTCTGCTGATTTTTGGTAGTTCTGTTCAAAACAAAACATTCATTTTGTTACGATATTCTCGATATTTTCGCTTTGCTATTCGAAGAATGAAAATTGAAAGGATTTTTAGAACTTGATCGAACGTAGCATTTTGGAGAAACGGGAAGTATTGTAATCCCAGTATTTAGAAATTCTGCGTCTGTGACAAATTTTACTGTACTCATCAAGATCTATCTGCCATGAAAGTTTAAAATTTTTCTCACAATCCATTCTCCAGAAATCCCGGCAAGCGGCGAGAAATACTATTAAATTCATATTTAGAAAAGCTGCTATACCGAAATTCATCATGAGTTTTACTCTTTAATGAAATTTGATAGTCATAAAAAATAATGACAAAATTCAATCTTTTTGAATGATCAAAAGAGATTTTAACATGATATTAAAATTAATTCTATGCTTACAAATAATTCTTTGTATTATCATCAACATGTTGTACATTTGTTCTCGAGGGTGTTGTACTAATTCTATATTGATTTTGAATACTTGAAGATAATTGATAAACATGATGTGGTGTAGCTGTACGTAAATTTGTTGTTACTCGTGCTACTGTTACTGGTGGACTTGGTTCACATTTTTCATAACGTACTGCACTATAATCATTTTGAAATGAACGTGGTGATTGACGATGTGTTGTTCGATCATAGTCCTAAAATAATTTGTATAGATGAAACATATTATATTATTAGTAAAAACTTACACTAGAATCTAATGGATATATATTTGATGTTGATACATTAGAATTAGTCTAACAAAAAAAAAAAAAGGGAAGAATAAGTTTTGTTTTTATAAGTAAAAATTAAATTATAATAATTTTACAGTATTAAATTTATAATTTTTTCCATTTGGTGATATTGATGTTGTATGTGATGGTGATAAACATGTAGTATAGTTTGTATTTGTATTTGATTTATTTGTTGACAATGAATTTTGTGTTAAATGTGTACTATAACGATTAATAGTTCCATTTGTTAATGATATTGAATGATATTGAGAATTTAATTTATGATTATTATTATTATTATTATTATTTTCATTATCTTTTTCATTTTCATTTTCATCATGTAAATGATAAATAGAATTGTTAACAACACGTGATTCAAGTTCTTCAGCACGTAATTCAGTATCAACTTTTTCAGCTTGAATCATACGAATTTCATTATTTATAGCATCAAGTTGTTCTTGTAAAACAAGTGCTAATGTTTGAGGATCACCATTATGATGATGTGTTGAATCATTATTTATTATCACCGGATGTTGATGTTGATATAAACTATCATCATCATCTGTTGTTAATTCAACATCAGAAGATTCAAATGCTAGACGAACATCATTTATTACTTGAGCTTGATCAATTGTATCCCAATCAGCTTCGGGAGTCTATTAAAAAAAAAATTATTCAAGTGATTTGAAATTCAAAATTTGATTTCAAATGATTATCATTCTTAAAATTAAGATTTAAAATGTGAGAGATGATGTTTTATTGATCCCGATTATGATTTCGGTATACGGCTGGCACTTTGTAGGTCATCTGTAGAGCCCATCAGGTTCTAGTTATCTCTCTTAATTTATCTTCTGATTAGTATTGTTTTGTAAGATACTGCAATATTTAATACACCTTAAATTATTATAAGATGTTAAATCGCAATTTTTGTTCTCTTGAATCAAAAAAGGTCATCAGCATAAAGAAAGATTGCCGATCTCAAACAATGTGAGGTATATGTGAAAAAATTGTTTTGAAAAGAATCCGAAATCGATTTCTTGTCA